ACTTGAACATATCATAAAATATATTATAAGCCTATATAAAAGATCATTGAATAGTGATAGTGAAAGAGGCAAGCTATATTATTTATATATAAGATAAAATAGTCTTTTAAAGTCATTTGAAACCAAGAAAATGAAGAGCACCTAATTAAAAGTACAGCTTTCCTCTCTTATAAATTGTTCTCTGTTTGAATGCTTCTGTTCATGACTGTTGTTGCCACGAACCTGTCTCTTCACGATAAGTTAGCAGTTTCAGTCACTGAGAGCTTTACTCTGCTCTCAAAAATCTGCCTTTCCTATTCTGGAATTCTATACCAAATTCTGGTAGAAAGTCACAGTTGATTCAAAACTGAAGACAAGTGATTTGTCTTAGGTTCAGGATGATGGCCCTCTAACTTGACTGAAATTAATCATGAAATTTTTTGCTTTGATTTCCAATCAGAAATAGATTTATTTCATAAAACAGCAAAATCTGAAGAAACACTAAATTTCAAAAAGCAAATAAACTTTCAGAACATCATTTAAACAATAAGTTGAACTTACTGTCTTTCTTACTTATCTTTTACCTTGTTCTCAACTGTGTAATCTAGGCTCTAAAGTCTAGACTCTACAATCTGAGGCAACAGATAACGGTTAAGAACATGGGGTCAAATCCCAGCTCTGCTTCTTATCTGCTTTGTTATCACAGACAAGCAATTTGCCATTTTAAGCCTCAGCTCCTCATTCGTAATATTGTATGAGTTTAAAAATAACAATCACCTTACAGGAACATGTGAGGGTTAAATGAGAATGCATATAAAAAGCTCAGCAAGCACCAGGCTCCTAGCAATTCCTCAATGAATTTAATCCTTCAACAAATATTTATGGGGCCAGCACTGTTCAGGGCACTGGGGATACAGCTGTACTAATTGTTAAATACAACTGTGGCCCTTACGGAACTTACATTTCACTTAGGGGAGACAGACAATTAAAAATACATTATATAAGCCATGATGTGAGTAGACATAAGCACACCCATGTTCACTGCAGCATTGTTCACAATAAAATGATAAAGAACAATGATGAATCTGCAAGACATCTCACAACATGGATGAATCTGGAAGGTATTATGCAGAGTGAAATAAGTCAATCACAAAAGGGCAAATACTATATGGGACCACTATTATAAAAACTCATGAAAAGGTATACACACAGAAACAATCTTTGATGGTTACTACGGAGGGAAAGAGCAGGGAAGGAAAAACACTAACTAGATAACAGATGAGTGGTAACTTTGGTGAAGGGTAAGACAGTACACAATACTGGGGAATCCAACACAACTAACCAAGGAAAGGTCATGGAAGCTTCACAGACACATTCAAACTGATGAGGGACCAAATTTCTGGGCTGAGGACTGGGGATCATGGTCTTGGGGGACATCTAGCTCTATTGGCATAACAAAGTTTATGAATAAAATGTTTTACATCCTACTGTGGTGAGTAGCATCTGGGGTCTTAAAAGCTTGTGAGAGGTCTTCTAAGATACTCCACTGGTCCCACCCTGTCTGGAATAAGACAGAATGAAGAAAACCAAAGATACAAGGGAAAGATTAGTCCAAAGGACTAATGGACCACAACTACCATAGCCTCCACCAGACTGAGTCCAACAAAACTAGATAGTGTCCGGCCACCATCACTGACTGCTCTGACAGAGATCATAATAGAAGGTTCTGGACAGAGCTGGAGAAAAATGTAGAACAAAACTTTAACTCACAAAAAAAGACCAGACTTACTGGTTTGACAGAGACTGGAGAAACCCTGAGAATATGGTCCCCAGACACCCTTTCAACTCAGTACTGAAGTCACTCCTGAGGTTCACCCTTCAGCCAAAGATTAGACAGGCCCATAAAACAAAAGGAGACTTAATGGGCACACCATCCCAGGAGTAAGGACGAGAAGGCAGGAGGGGACAGGAAAGCTGGTAATGGGGAACCCAAGGTCAAGATGAGGAGAGTGTCAACATGTCATGGGGTTGGCAACCAGTGTCACAAAACGATATGTGTATTAATTATTTAATGGGAAATTAATTTGCTCTGTAAACCTT